TAATACTTATTTTGTCCAATATATATATATATATATTTTTTTCTTTTGATAAAATAAAAACTGAATCTATTTGACTAATTTTTTTTTGCATTTTGCTAAAGCTGCTTTATTTTCTTCAAATAGCAACAATCATGCAGCTCATATGATTTGTTTGTGTTTTCAGAGTATTGTGTATATCTTATTAAACAGATAAAGTTATTAAGGCGGTTTTGCACCATCTTTTTTCTTTTTACCACATGATAATTGCCTTACCCTTTGCATTATATTTTTATTCATAAATGACCCAGTATAAATAGTTTTTATGTTCTATTATATTTATCTAACAACAATCCAACAAATTAAAATGAAGAGTACAGTCTATGGTGTATATAATATAGATGTTAAAACTATAAAACAGTATAAATTCTGTACTAGGAAATTTGAACCCAACCCCCCAGTAGTAGAGATCAGAGAAGTACAGTACAACATGGTCAGAAGTTAGAAGTTAAATACCAGATTTGAACAGAAATGTGTCTCTTGTTTTAACCTGTGATCCGGTCCACCAAAATGCAACTTGTTACCCGGTATAAACATGGCAATAACCGAGGACCCCCTCTGTCTCATCCACGTTAGCCATTATGGTAAGCTTAATAAACGAGCCTACTTACAGTGCGGAATCAGAGGTTGAAAAAGCCGTACAATTACAAAGAATGGATTGACAAGAAATAATATAGATCGCGCCACAAAACGAAAGTAACAAGCCTGATTTAAAAGTACAGATATTTGTGTAAAAATGTAAAAAAAAAATAATAAAGTCAGAAAAATAAATGGAGTAAAGTACTGATATCAGAAAAATCTACTTGAGTACAGTAACAAAGTATTTGTACTTTGTTACTTCCCATCTCTGGAAATATGTAGTAAATAGGAAATATGTGGGGTCCTGAGGGTGAAATAGGGTTTCTATGTTGGGGAAATACGAGCAATATGGACAATATGAGTAATATATGGGTGATATGTGGGCAACATGAGTGATACATGGGTGATATGTAGGTAATATTGGGCAATATGGGTGATTTGTCTAATATTTAGGCAATATGTGGGGTCCTGTGGCTGGCATGGGGTTTCTATGTAAAGGATATGCGAGCATTATGGACAATATGAGTGATATATGGGTAATATGTAGGTGATATGTGGGCAATATAAGTGATATCCATGCAATATGTAAGTGATATGTGGGCAATATTGGTGATATGTGGGTACAATTTGAGATTCTGGGGGCATTAAATGAGTAATTTGGGGGAAATGTGTAATCTGGGCAATATGGGTATATGTGAGTGGTATATGGGTGATTTGAGGGTGTTTTATGAGCAATTTGGATGATATGCGGGGGACATACTTGCATATGGGTAATGTGCGTGGCAATATATGGGCTATATGCGTAAGATTTATGAGCAATAGAGGTCCTCAGTGTCATATATGGGTTGATAGGTTTGATATGTGGCCAATATGGGTCATATGTCTGTGATTTGTGGGGAATATGGGTGTTATGTCTGTGATTTGTGGGCATTATGGTTGATATGTCTGTGATTTGTCGGCATTATGGGTAATATGTCTCTGATTTGTGGGCATTATGGGTGATATGTGGGCAATATATGGTTGATATATATGTGGAGTTTGGATATATGGGCATATAAGTGATCTGTGTGGCAATAGGTGGGTTAAATGCATGACGTGGGTGATTTATGGGCAACATGTGGGATGCTTGGGGTCATATATGGGTTGACATTATATGTGGGTAATATGGGTGATATATGAGCATTTAGGTGATATGTGGGCAATATATGATTTATATATGGGTGATATGCGGAGTCTTGGTAATATGTGGTTGATTTGTAGCTGTTTCATAGGTGATATGTGGACTAAATATTGGCGTATGGGTGTTATTTTTGATGATATATGGGCTATATGCGTGACGTGGATGATTTATGGGCAACAGGTGGGGTCTTTGGGGTCATATATGTGTTGATAGGGATGCTATGTGGGTAATATGTGGGCATTATGGGTGATATGTTGGCAATATATGGTTTATATATGGGTGATATGTGGACAGTATATTGGCATATGGGTTATATGTGTGGCAATATGGGTGACGTGGGTGATTTAAGGGCAATTGGTGGGGTCCTTGGGGTCATTTATGGGTTGATAGGGTTAATATGTGGGAAGTATAGGTGATTTGGGGATGTGGGCAACGTGGGTGACATATGGTCAATATGATATGTTGTTAATATGAAGGCAATATGTGGGTGAATTGTGGGCTCCTAAGAGCTGCACTGGAGCAGCACTCTGAAAACGGTAAAATCATATTAATTAGGGATCACCCAGTGTTCAATTTTTGTGTTAAAAATGTATGCTAATTTGTGCATAATAAAATAATTCCTCATTTGTATATTAAAAATGACATTTTAGAAAAAAAAAATGCAATACAGAAATGTTTCTAATTCATAATGTAAACAAGCAAATAGGAAGGTATTATGATATGTTTCCTCTATTCATCTACAGTTCTCGTTATTTGTTAGATTATTTGTATTTTATGATTTTTTTTTGTCACATATTGGTTATTTTGATCAGTGGCTGGGTATTTGAGGGCGAGGAGTATTTGGGTGGGCCTCAAAAACATGTATAAATCTTTCTTTCCTGTTTATAAAATTACTGCTGCTGGTCTATATTCTGCATGAAAGATGTTTGGACTGGCCAAATATTATTATTTGTACGATACTTTGACAGCTTTTTATAGTCATTCTTTTGTTAGCATAGAATAAAGAGGAAGAATTTGCATGTAAATCCTTGAATGTCATTGCAACGGTAATCAAGATATGTTATCAAGTGCTTGTGCTGTACAAAACAATAATTATACAGCTGTGATTGAATTCAATGTATATTTGTTTGTGTCAGAACGTCATTGCATGCTTAGCCAACTTAAAATAAAATAAAAATATAATATTGTCAATAGTCCAATATTATGATAATACAGTTTTAATAATATGCCCGTAATGAATAAAAATGAACCAAATGGTTATTTTTAGACTGGTGCCAGATATTCTCAGGGCTTGCGG